GTATGATATGAATATTCAAAGTAGGCACCATGAACTATTTTTACACTGAAACAACAGATTAGGTCGACCTGATCCTATATGAGGTCGACCGAATCCTAAATGAGGTCGACCTGATCCTATATGAGGTCGACCTAATCCTAACCGAGGTCGACCGGAAAGTGCAAGTCACCGTGACATGCATGTCACCGTAGGCACACCCCAAAAGTTAATCAACATAATTCGTATTAGCTATAATCTCTCAAGTGGTTGAGTAATTAAAATGCATGAATTATGCTTAATGTGATGGGTAGTGTTTGTAGGAGATGAAAGTTAAGAATGGTGGAACTTGAAAGAAGGTGTGACAATTCATTAGAAAATGACACCCTATTTATAGGTACTCTAACATGTCCGTTAGTAATTTTTTCCGTTGGTTGTATAGGAGCGTTGGTAATTGTGGATGTCGAAACGCGAATCTGAGAGACAACACGCCAAATTGAAGCTCGCCCCCCCCCCCCCCAATTGAGTTTGTTGCCGCCCCAACTAACTTTTTAGCGTATATACTATCGAATTGGGCGTGCACGCCTATTTATGTCTTAATAATGACTTACAACTTGTGCGCCCCAATAAGCTTATACGAACAATAGATTTGAAAATATATTCATAACTGCGACATCTTGAGTAATATTTTTTAAAAGAGAATACTTTAAGAAAAAGCCGAAAGAAACACAACAATTATTTATTTGAAGACATTTATTTAACTTCATTTCCTCTATCATTCACCAAATAAAATTTATGATATACAATATAATAATCAAACTGATCATGCTAAACAAAATAATAGTCAAACCCTTAAAAATAATAATTGAATAGCCAAATCATTAACTCTCCGCCCGGTCAACTATTAGTTGACTCCGATGTGACAAAATGACTATGTACTCGATGATTTTTTCCTGATGTGGCAAGTAATAAAATTTAATTTCTTATTTTTTAAATTAGAAAACTAAACTAGAAAAATGTAGTTTAGAACGGGGTTCGACTCTCTCTCTCTCTCTCGTTCTAATCCATCCTTTCAATTCTCTCTCAGCATATTACTCTGTATCGGCGCCACCTCTCAACACGGCATTCTCGATCTCAAGACACAATCCATCTTCATGAAAGCTTGGGCTCATACTTGCAGGCAGATCAGAGATGGTGTCGATGACCGCTCGCTCGAGTTTCCACCGTCGTACCAGAATAGTTGACTTCGGTCTTCGATTGAACAAGTATTGTGGACTCGCAATAAATTGCGGTGGAATACTTGGATTACTTGAAATTCTTTGGCAATTACATCTTCCCATACGAGATTTCTCTAAGAGGGGACGATGATTTCAAATCTCAGTTGGGGTTGTAGCCTTGCAAGTTGCAAGACACAAAATCCTGTCCACTTCGCACATGAGTGAGTGTTTGTTTGGCTAATGAATGGGTATGGGAGGAGCTTTCGCCGGCGGCAAATCTGGCCTTGGAAAGGAATTGGGAATCACCATTGCAGTTGTTGAATTCAACCTCAAACTGCAACTGAGCGATAGGAGGCTAAGCGATGGCCAACAAAGAAGGTTTCTCCACCTCTGGGATTCGGAGCTACAGGTATTGCCCTGCCAGCGCGTGGGATGCGGATTCTGAAGATGAATCTATGGAAGAATAATCAGGTGTTTAATGATTTTAGATTTGAAATGAGGGCGGAGACGGTTTTCTAGAAGGATATCCCCGTCGGGAGAGGAGACTCGTTTGGACGGGGGTTTTAGAGTCGACGAAGAAGGGAACGGGAAGAATTTTTTTGTGCCATTGTTACTCCAATATTTAGATTCCAGAGGATGGAGGAGAAGAAGAAGAAGTTGAGAATCAGGGTGAAAATAAAATAGATCCGGAGAAGGAGAAGTAGCCGGAGGGAAAGTGACTCTTGTCATTTGGTCGATGGAGGAGATGGAGGAAGGGAAGTGACAAGGATTAAAAGAATTTGTGGTTGTATTTTTTCAACAATAATATATGATTTTTTCTATGATGATGTGACAAAATCAAATAGTTGATTTTTTGACACATCAACACTTTTCATCTACTATGTCAGAGTCAACTAACAGTTGGCCGGACGAAAAGTTGAAGGTTTGACTATTAAAATTGTTTTCGAAAAGATTTGGCTATTATTTTATTTAAAATAAAAAGTTTGTTTGGAAGTTGTGATTTCAAATGATGTATTTAGCTAATTCATATATTTGTGAGATTAAGTCGTTTTTTTTTTGTGTCTTATTTTGAACTAGAATACATGCCCCACCACAATCATTCAAAATTGAGGCATTATCAATCTCTACTTTTTGTTGAGATTATTCACAATCACTCAAAACTAACATTTGTAGCTTTACAACAAAAATACAATCTAAAACTCTAAACAAGGTATTTGTCTAATACATCAATTGATTCAATACATCAATTGATAATACACTAATTGACTCAATACATCAATTTGAAGAATCACAACTTCCAAACAACCTATATTGTAGAGCACTTCTACTATGCTATATAGTATTGGTGCTTTAATGTACAGTTTAGAGTTGTATCATAACATTAAATGTATAAGTTTAGGTTGTACCATAAAACAATTTGTACCATTATGTTATAGTACAACTTTACAACTTGAAGTTGTACCATCACATAAAGGTACAAGTTCAAGTTGTACCATAAAAGAATTTGTACAAAAAGTATAGGTACAATCTGAAGTTATACCATAACATAAATGTACAATTTTAAGTTGTACCATAAAGGCAAAACCTTATAGCACCAATACTATATAGCATTGTAAAATTTCTCTATATTGTAACTGTTTAGCCCTAGAATGTACCCAAGGCTAACATAGTAATTATGGGGCTCCGATTTGGACTCCCTCGTTCGATCTCTTCGAGAGGCGAGGAATCTGTGAGGAGGAGGGGGGCGGCCCCCGGGATCTAGGCTCCGACGCCCAAGTTAGTACGATACATGATAGAGCGTATGGTATGTAGAGAGATAAAGTAGAGAGAGAGACCTTAGGGGTAAGTGAGAAGGAGAAGTAGGGCTGGGAAAACGATTGCGGTTTCACGGTTAAACTGATAACCGCACCGAAACCGCGCGGTTATTGGTTAACCGCAAACCGCATATTTTGCCTATTTTGCGGTCGCGGTTGGAGATATGGGTTGTTTTGTGGTTTGCGGTTTAACCGCAACCGAAACCGCAAATCCATATAATCGCAAGGCTAACCGCGACTTAGATCCAACCCATAGTTGACCCCTAGCCCAGCCCAAAATTGACCCCCAGCTCAGCAGCCCAAACCCGACCCAGCCCCTCCCCCACTTCTCCCTGCCGTCGTTTTGATTTGACGAAACGAAAGTCTCGTCGTCCCTTCCCATCTTCCCGCGCCGTCGTCTGATTCTGAAAACCCTAAGCCAAGCCAGCAACTGAAAACCCTTCGTGCTTCGACCCTTCCCATCTTCCCGTTGCGGCGCTACGCCGCTGCCATCCGCCCGCCACCGTCCCTGGCCGTCCGCCGTCCCCGGCTTCCTCAAGGCTGCGCCTCTGTTGATGGAAGTGAAATAGACAAAGCAGTAGTTGCTATGTTTTTTTCATGTATTTTTTGCGGTTAGTTCGCGGTTAATTCGCGGTTAGATTGCTTAACCGCGGTTTCGTATACTGTTTCGGTTGTTGCAGTTTTTACCCACAAAAACCGCGGTTCACCGCTAACCGCGTTCTGCGGTTTTTGGTTAACCGCTAACCGTGAGAGACGCGGTCGCGGTTGGCTAATATGAGTGTTTTGCGGTTGCAGTTAACCGCAAATTGCGGTGCAGTTAACCGCAACCGCACCGTTTCCCACCCCTAAGGAGAAGGAGAGGATCCTCTGGTTTGGAGGCATGAGTCTCCTTTTATAGGAGTCTTGGACTTCCTTTCGTGGGCTTGGGCCCGATAAGATGTGTGGGTGATAGGTTTGGGCCCGTTGATGACGTAGTTGTTTGTCGTATTAGGCGGATTAATACCACACCCAACAGTAACCCTAAAATTTATAAAAATTTTAGTGCTTAACATCATAGTGGTCGAAATGCCGGTATAGAAAACCGATCAACTTTCTAATCTCCCATGATGCATTATTTAATAATTTGTAATCATACCTGTGATCTACATCCCCTCGATTGTTTTTGGCCGAAAACATGATCGCACATGAAAATCCATAACCCTGAAATCAAAGCTGCAAGTAGAAACAAGTTTAGGGTCAAATAAATAAAATATATTTGATTCACCAAACAAATTAATTAATAAAATAATAACGATCAATGAATAGATCCTCCCCTACGTAGATTAGACGACGACAGACGGATCCCAACTTACAAGCAACAGATTTTTTGTGCGTGTACTGAAGGAAATTCCGACCACAAAAAAAAAAAAAAGAAAGAACTCCGGTCGAATTCAAACTCAAAATTCCAAATCTGACGCTCCTCATAGTCACTGAACCGATGCACAAGAAACGGCGCCGTTTTGGGGCTAACGTTACAAATGTCAAGGCAAACGAGTCCAAAAAAGACCCACAGTCTGACGTGTCCGCCACGCCACCCTCTGCAGCACATAGTTAGTAAAATACGGTACGGGAAAGTTACGTAAAAGATACGTACGGGCATTATACTTCATCTTTAAGCTAAAATTACGTTTAATAGTACGTTAATAGTCATAAATATATAAAATTAATCATTTTAAAAATAAATAAATATATAAATAATAATAAAGTTAACAATTTAATTCGTAAAATACGGATAATAAACGTGTTATACGGGTTTTATACGTGTTTAGTACGGGAACCATGAAATGAACGGGGGGAAATGAAACGGCTTGACAATAATACGGATACGAAAGTTTTAAACGGATAAAGTACGTACGGGTACATATACGTGTATTAAACGGAGTATTTACTAACTATGCTGCAGCACCTGTACTCTCCACCCTCCTTTACACATATCCTGAAGGCGAGGTGCCTTTTTTTCCTCTTCTCTCTCTCTCTCTCTCTCTGTTTTCGCCATTTTTGAGTCTCCACTCACTACCACCTGTTAGGGCGGGAACCCAAAATCATTTCTCTCCCACCCTCACAAAATACAAAAAGGATAAAAGAAATTACAGCAGCTCCACCAAACAAACAGACATGGCCGTAGCAGTAACTCCTCCTCCTCCTCCCCCGTCCCCTTCCTCTCTTGTCCTTTCTCCGACTCTAGGGTTTCCATCTCTCTGATTTTAGGGTTCCCAGCCAGCATCCCCAATCCTCCTCCTTTCTTTTGCTTCTTCGAATCGCTCTCCTTACGATGCTTAGTCTGCGCGTCGGCGCTAAGGTTTGGACCGAGGATCGGAATCTCGCTTGGGTTGCCGCTGAAGTCACTGATGTCGTCGGCAAGCAAGTTCACCTCCTCACTTCCACTGGCAATAAGGTAGTTCACTATTTTTCCCGTGCTCTTTCCGTTGGATTTTGCTTTCCTTGAATGTTGAGCTCGTTTGACTCGTAAGCTCTCTCATTCTTCAGGTTTCGGCTTCTCCCGAGAAGCTGTTGCCTAGGGATGCTGATGAGGAGGAAGAACACGGCGGAGTGGACGATATGACCAAGCTTACTTACTTGAACGAGCCTGGAGTTCTTTACAATCTCGAGCGGAGATATGCACTCAACGATATTTATGTAATGCTCTCGCTCCCTCTCTCTCTTTCCTCCTCAAACACGTGTTTAGCTCAATTTCCACGTCTCTCCGTTCGTTCTTTCTCGGTTAAGTTGAGATGGTTTCTGCTTATGGAGTTTCTGCACTTAATTATGGTGCTTGATGGCTGTTGTCAGAGGATACCATTCATTTTAACCTTTTTTTTGGATAATCCAAGCAGTATTTAAAGCTGCTCGTAACAGTCTATGATCTGGATAACTAACTTATTAGACTTGCATTCCTACTACTCATTGGTAAAGCCTGAACATAGGTTTTGCCCCTTTTAGTAATGTGTAATGCTAGGCTGGCCTGCTTTAAATAGGTGTAAATGGTAGTTGGAGTCAAGTTTTGCTACACTTTGACAGATTTGAAAGTCCAGTCAATGCTGATCTTCGGTCTGCTCATGTTTGTGACCTCTGTCTTCGGTGACTGTTACTTAGCGAGCGTTCCAAACTATGTTACAGATGAGAAAGTGAGACGAAGGAATGGAAACATTCTTACTGGGTGTACTGGCATGATAAATGCACCATTTGGTAGTTCACTACGCTACCATTCAACTTATTCTGTGTGTTTCTTTCCTTGTTAAACAGACATACACAGGAAGCATTCTGATTGCTGTCAATCCTTTCACCAAGCTTCCCCACCTTTACAATGTGCATATGATGGAGCAGTACAAAGGAGCCCCATTTGGTGAGCTAAGTCCACATGTTTTTGCGGTGGCTGATGCATCATACAGGTAAACTTACGTCTGAAGCAATTAATTGTAGTTTGCAATGTGATGAGTGTTTCTTGCTACAAATTGATCCATCTGGTCATCTCCATTAAAAAAAACTATATGCTTCAATTGGGTTTTAAATCCAGAGCTATGATGAGTGAACGTCGAAGCCAATCTATACTCGTCAGTGGAGAAAGTGGGGCTGGAAAAACAGAGACAACAAAACTTATTATGCAGTACCTTACTTATGTTGGTGGTCGAGCTGCTGGTGACGACCGTACAGTTGAGCAGCAAGTTCTTGAAGTAAGATTTTTTAACCTCTTCCATGCACCATTATATTTCATAGAAACGCAATAGGCTAGTGGCTCATATTAGTTTTTCGGTTGGCAATATGATTGGTCAATATTTCCATGAATATGTGCCCCCATCTCGTCTTTCCGTATAATCCTGCTCTTTTTTGCTGGGAAGCATTTCTCAAGTATTAATTGACATTGTACTTTATAGCTATGTGTTTAGTTGAGTTGAAGTTTATTAGACATAAGCTAATGTGATGTTGAATAAAATTCTGCTATTCATATATGCACACATACTCATATTCATTTATTTTGCATAATCCAGTCAAATCCACTCTTGGAGGCATTTGGTAATGCAAGGACGGTGAGAAATGACAACTCAAGGTATGTCGACTTCCTTTTCCAAGTTTCTTCCGTCTTTGTTATTTCATACTTGAGCGGGTTTCCATTAAAAAAACTTATTTCACCTTTCCTTTCCATCTTTGTTTATTGAGTCACTCATTAAAGCACTGAAAATGCTGAATGCATAGAGATCGCAGTATTATTTCACCTGTCTCCCCCCACCCCTTTCCGATGGTAAAAATCATGTCTTCGTGGATTTTTTAAACTGGTCATAGAAATGAAATAATCTGAATTACTTGCGACTTAGATCTAGGTTATATGACAAATGCCATTACTTTGTTGTTGTGTCCTGAAATATGAGTTTTCTGTTTACCTGGTGAAATCGTTGCTTGATTTGCTCGTGCTGGTCAATACTTGTTATTGCAGTCGTTTTGGAAAGTTCGTTGAGATCCAGTTTGATTCAAATGGTAGAATATCTGGTGCTGCAATCAGAACATATCTTCTCGAGCGGTCTCGTGTAGTCCAAATAACAGATCCTGAGAGGAATTATCACTGTTTCTATCAATTGTGTGCATCTGGCAGGGTAATTTTCTCCCTAATACTTATGCTTTGTTGGCTTTACATGTTACTAATGGGTGATATTTTATTCAGATTTGTTACAAGTGTGTGTGTGTAGATCAACTGTTTTTGGTGCACTTATCTTGTTTTGCTGTTTAAAGGATGCAGAAAGGTACAATCTAGATCATCCAAGCCATTTCCACTACTTGAATCAAAGTAAGACTTATGAATTAGATGGAGTGAGCAATGCAGAAGAATACTTGAGGACAAGAAGGGCAATGGATGTTGTTGGTATAAGCCATGAAGACCAGGTTAATGAAGGGTCATGTTGATGCCTGCCCTTTCGAAGACTGTATTTCTTCTCTTTGTTTATCTGATGTTCTTTACCTGCTCGCTATTCATATCAGGAGGCAATATTCCGCACCTTGGCTGCAATTTTACATCTTGGAAATGTTGAATTTTCTTCTGGGAAAGAGCATGATTCCTCCTGCATAAGAGATAAGAAGTCCAATTTTCATATGCAGATGGCATCTGATCTTCTTATGTATGCGTCGTCTATTGTGCTTCTTCAAATTTGAATTCTGCACTCCAGAAAGCTTGCTTGCATATGTACTGACAACTGCATCAAATATATAAATGGACATCTGGTTATGCCAGATGCAATTCCTCGGTGCATAAGACCACTCTCGATAATTGAGCTTTAGTTTATTGATCATTTCACTGTACTTCAATTAGGTGTGATGTCAATCTTTTGGTGGCAATATTATGTACACGTACAATTCAAACCCGTGAAGGACTGATTATAAAAGCTCTGGACTGCAATGCTGCTGTTGCTAGCCGTGATGCATTGGCAAAGACTATATATGCTAAGCTGTTTGATTGGTATCGTTGTACTTCCACTTTCAGTTGAAGATCCCTTTTGTTATATGAACGGCTTCAGTGACTGTCTAAATTTTTCTTGTATTTTTTTTTCTTCCCCATGAAGGCTGGTCGAAAAGATCAATAGATCTGTTGGTCAAGACTTGACCTCTCAGATACAAATTGGAGTGCTGGACATATATGGCTTTGAATGCTTCAAAAACAATAGGTGTTACCCCGTTACATGTTATGTATTATACTATTTCTTCTGTGTTCTTTCCGTTCATAGGATGCTAGGTGAGTTAAAATATAATTTATTAAGCTTCCTAAGTTTTGATAAAGCTTTTATGTTCCATTGTTTTTATATATGCTTAGATACTACAAGAATGTTGTCTCTCTGTGCTGTATATCATGGTGTATCTATTGTTGATCTCAAGAGGATTTGTTCCATTGTGTTTCTAACAGATTGATTGTTTTTGAAGCTGTAATAATGTAGTACCTTTATTCACATAATAACAGTGGTTGGTTTATTCTAAATCACAACTCATCATTCCCATATTGCTTTTTACTATAGTTGATAGATGCTTGATGCTTTTCTTTTGCATTCCCTAGGCTATTAGTTTTGATTGATAGAGCTTAGCTGTATTTATGTGTTTATATATTTATTTATTTTCGTTAAATAAATTTAGCTGAATGAATAAGTGATTTATGTCTCTGTTCCACAGTTTTGAGCAATTCTGCATTAATTTTGCGAATGAAAAGCTTCAGCAGCATTTCAATGAGGTAAGTACATTCCTTTTGAAATTATAAATGTAAATTGTAATAGCTGTTTTCAGATTCTTGGCTTATCTGCTTCTTTATGTGTTCAGCATGTCTTTAAGATGGAACAGGAGGAATACAGAAAAGAAGAAATTAATTGGAGCTATATTGAGTTCATAGACAACCAGGACGTCTTGGACCTCATTGAAAAGGTCTCTTTCTTGTCAGAGTATCAAATATTGAGTTGTTGTTTGTACTGTGCTTCTTTTGGATTGTTAAGTGTTATTTTGGACCTCAGGTATTTGTTGTCCTGGTAATGGCTTCATTGTATGAGCTGGGGTTTTGACAGTTAAGTGACTGTAGGAAAAAAGGAAGTCCATACAAATTGTTATGAAGGATTGTGTTGTGTACTTTTTCTTTGTTAATTGATGGTAGATCCTTTATTTTGCCTAACAAGATGGGCATTATAGTATTAAGAGATGCTCAGTGGGACTAATCTGGCCTCCAACCATTTATCTATCTTCAATGCCTCAGATATGTATCTACTATGTGATAGGAATAAAATTGAAACATATCAGTTTAGGAGGCATGATGCTCTATTTCCATTGTCTATGTGTGAATCTGGCAGATTGATTTTCTCCGTAAATGTGATCAATGGCTATCTTGAGCTAATGTTGGGTTTACTGGTTTTCAGAAGCCAATTGGGATAGTTGCTCTCCTTGACGAAGCTTGGTACAGTATGAGTTCACTATTATTGGTGCTCTTTGATCATTAACCTGCTTCTATGCTGGTTATTCTTATCCTGATTTTCATTATTATGCAGTATGTTCCCAAGATCAACACATGAGACATTTTCCATGAAATTGTTTCAGCATTTCCGCTCTCACCCCAGGTTGGAGAAGGCAAAATTTTCAGAAACAGATTTTACCTTATCGCACTATGCTGGCAAGGCATGTTTACTTGTCAATTATTACTCTTGGAGAACTTAGTTACAGTCAGACCCAAAACCTTTCAAATGAATGGATCATTTCATTATTTAGGTTACTTATCAAACAGACACATTCTTGGAGAAAAACCGCGATTATGTAGTGGTGGAGCATTGCAGTTTGTTATCATCTTCAAAGTGTGCCTTTGTTGCTGGTCTTTACTCTTCAGCTCCGGAGGAATCTTCTAGATCATCATACAAGTTCTCTTCCGTGGCCACTAGGTTTAAGGTAAAAATCTTGGTGGATGTATGATAGGTTGTGTTTGTAATCTTCTCCAGAAAATTAGTGTTTGAATTTGAGTACACACTTTTGGATTTCACATATCAAATGTTAATTGCCATCTTTTACGTAATGGTAGATTTTCATGTAACTTTTTTGTTTGTTATGATGGGTAGTGAGCAAACTCATAATTTCTCCTACAGCTTGCTAATTCTTTTTACCTGTAGCAACAACTGCAAGCACTTATGGAGACCCTTAACTCAACTGAACCTCATTACATACGGTGTGTGAAGCCAAATTCTCTGAACCGGCCTCAGAAATTTGAAAACCAGAGCATATTACATCAGTTACGGTGTGGGGTTAGTCATGCAAAACTTTGTTACTTGTTAAAATTTTTCCATTAGTAATTTCTCATTGTCATATTCCACGTTTAACAATTTGATTCAGTTGGTTGTTTCTTGAATGGCCTCTTGTTTTACCGTCTACTTAGGCATGGCTTTTGTCTTTATGGTCTTATTGCTTCGTACAAACTTCGAACATAAGTTAATAAATGGTGCGCTTTTTATCCTGCTTAGCAAATTATGACCTATGAGTTTGGTGCTTGGAAAGTCCTCAATTTCAAACTTCATGATAGGAGATTTGAAGAAGGATTTCAGTTAATAGCCATATATCAGGACTGCATATTCATCTAGAATTTTAATGAATTCATGGTAACAAAGGTCCACTTGATAGAGATATGCCTTTAAGCTGGCGTACCAATTTCTGCAAGAATGACGAAGGCGATAGTGTTAAGGTCTGTGTTAGGAGGACGGAAAAGGGAAGGAAGTTGGTAAATAAAGTCGTAAGAGGTTGTCCAGGTAGGTGTATTTTAGGGAGGCAATGTTATTTGTAATTGCACATAATTAAACAAATATACCTTTCCATGATAACATTTGGTGCTTTTAGTTAACTGAAGTGGAATAGCTAATCTACAATGCACTAAAGTGTAATAATCTCAAATGCACAATGGCATGATATATCTGCTACCTCCAATCTGGAGGAGGTTCCCACATATTTTTTTTTTCAATTTTATTTTCTGGCATAGTTCTTGGTGCAAACGCATTGAACTAAGATAATACATTATGAATATCACACCAATAGTATGGAACATAAATAGTTTGCATCACAGAGAAGTAACTCCCATTTCCAGAGAACACTAAATCAAATATAGCCTAGCTAGTTGTTGACTAGTAAGGAATATTATTAGTATTATTATTATTATTATTATCATCATCATCCTTTGCTTACATGGCATTAAAGCACAACAATGATGACATCTTTTGTTCAGAAGACTATTTTGGTGTGTGAGAAGGTGTGTTATTTTAGACTTATATAGATCTTATAGGTTTAGTCCAATAAGTTGTTGAAGGAGTGTTTTGTGCATCCATGTTTGGGCTTTAGGCCAGTTAATTTCTTTTTGGCCTTTAACGTTTGCTTCAACTAATATGAACATTTTTTTATGTATCTCTTTCATTTTGGTGTAGAGAAGCAAAGTCTGACGACTTTTTAGGCAATAGTGGTCATATTAATAGGGTGGACTCTTTGTTACTGTTTTACATAATTACAGTTCAGGAAGTAGGTCCTCTCCCGAAATCTACTATGGATGAGCAAAAGTATGGTTAGAAAGATGTGTGGCCTTGTGTCCAGAATAATACTGGTAGGATACTGATATTAGGGAACATATATAGCTGGCAGCTTTGGTGATGGGATGTTTTATGGTGACGTCACATGTGATTCCCTTAATTGATGTAAAAAATGCTTCATGTAGGTGTGCTTATATTATCATGTTTTAATGCAATTTTATGGTTGTATCGTGTTTCGAGTGTGCATTTTCCTTCACGCCATGTGCTGTGTTTCTGATTTTACTATTATAATGAGATTGACACATTTACTTCTGACTGGATGAAGGGTGTTCTAGAGGCTGTTCGGATTAGTCTTGCAGGTTATCCTACACGAAGAACCTATTCAGAGTTTGTTGATCGGTTTGGGATCCTAACTCCGGAATATCTTGATGGAAGGTGCTAATTTTAAATTGCATGGCTAGCCTTGGATTACGATCAGTCTTCTTGTTTCTTGTCTGTAGCATTTTGTGGAGTGACTCTTAAATGACAGAAATGACATTTTCGTACTGATGCCTCCATTTCGTTATTTTCCATGTGGGAAATAGTAGGGGCATTTACACATGTAGTAGGGGCAATTGTTAAGAAAGGGTTCGATATCTTTTCTTGTGCTATTGAATTGACACATTACATTTACTAGATTGGAGGTTCGCGAGTGAGCTTGTTTGTCCATGATTGTGTTTCCTCTCTGTTGTAAATAAACTTCTGTTTTCGTATGTATGAAAAACCTGTCCTTCACTATTGACTGTCATGCTGTATCTAAGACTCAGTTGCTCATCGAGAAATGCTGATTGTTTTCTCCCACTTTTGGACAGCTGTGACGAAAGAGGTTGGACAGAGAAAATAGTGCAGAAGATGAAGCTTCAAAATTTTCAGGTACTCTTCCATTTCAATGGCTGGATTTTCTTTTCCTTTTGGAAATTGAGAAGAAAGAAAGAGATGCATGGGGGATGTGGGTTTTGGTGTATTGTTTGACAACGAAGGCTATGCACCAGGGATTCTTTAGACTTTGATGTGATCCTTAACTCTCCAAACTGTGTAAATTCTTTGTGCAGTTGGGTAGAACCAAGGTATTCCTTAGAGCTGGACAGATTGGTATTTTGGACTCTCGGAGGGCAGAAGTTCTGGATACTTCTGCAAAGTGCATCCAAAGACGAGTACAGACGTTCCTTACACGCAGGAGTTTCCTGTTAAAGAGGGCCGCTGCATTTTCATTCCAAGCATATATTAGAGGTTTACTTTTATTTTTTCTTGGCTTCCTGATTTTCAAAGTTTTACTATTGCTTTCATCTGAATGCCAACAATATCTTTCCATGTGATCACTAACTTACTGGTCAAAAGCATTCTAATTGGTGCTGCCCATTTCTCTTAATGATTCGTCTATAAGCTTAATTTTTACTGCTATATGTTTAGGATGTATTGCTCGAAAGACTTACTCTCAGAAGCGGAAGACAGCAGCTGCTATTACTATACAGAAATGGGTTCGCAAGTGGCAAATGCAGCATGCCTATTTGAAACTGTTTTCATCTGCCGTAATAATACAGTCAAGCATACATGGGTTCTTGTCCCGCCAAAGATTCAGAAATGGAATGAGGAGTAGAGCTGCCACCCTAATTCAGGTATTGTGGAGAGTGTCATGTCTAATAGTCTATTTTTATGCAAATACCTCTACTCTTAAGTGTTTTCAAAGAAACTGATTATTGACTACTCCAGTTGGCGCCTTGTGATATTATTACTTTCTGTATTCGTTGGACAAGTTCAATTTTACTGCAAAAGATACTAATGATTTGACTGCTTTTGAGCTGTCGATACTTGTCTCAGTGTTTGTCTGACTAAGTTTTGTTAATCTCTGTTGGATTCAATAAAATTAACAAGGGGTGTTGGAGAACGTACAAGTTCCGCTCTGCTTTGAGGCATCGCCAGGGTTCCATAATAGCTATACAGTGTTGTTGGAGACAAAAATTAGCAAGACGAGAGTTCCGGAAGCGGAAACAAGTAGGAGATTTCAGACCTTCTCTTTGCTTTACACCAAGAGTTTATGGCATACTCTAATTGATTTGTGTAACTTTGCAGGCTGCTAATGAGACAGGTGCCTTGCGTTTAGCTAAGGGTAAACTTGAGAAGCAGTTGGAAGATCTTACATGGCGGTTGCATCTGGAGAAAAGACTGCGGGTATCTTAATTCATTGGATGGGTCCAGATTGTTGAGGGCTGTTTAGTCTGCATACTGTCTTTTTGTTCCTGTGTTCATATCTCTGCTCTTTCCTGTCTGTAATCCTCGTGCGTTATCTGGAATGCAGGTTTCTAGTGAAGAGGCAAAGTCTCTGGAACTTTCTAAGCTTCAGAAATCAATGGAATCTTTGACCCTTGAATTAGATGCGGCCAAGTTGGCTACAGTTAGTGAATGCAACAGAAATGCAGTGCTGATAAATCAGTTAGAATTATCACAGAAGGAAAAGTCAGCTTTGGAAAGAGAACTGATTTCGATGGCTGATCTGAGAAAGGAGAACAAAATTTTAAAGGTTAATGTTTGTTCATTGTTGGTCAATTTGAACTAAATGGTTTGAGGTCAATGTTAGAACCAATTGTCATTAATGACTCCATTTCCATTTGGTTCCACAGTTGTTTTTAACGACATAGTAACAATTTTTCTGGAGGTTTGGTCAATAAGGGTTTAGTTTTTGGCCTACTTGATAGGACAAATACACAATTGCAAAATTTAGTTGAAACTTTGTTATCTCTGGGGTCATTGGATTTTCTTCATAGGTTTATGTACTTACATTCAATTGATGTTGGTTTCTTCCTCTGTAATCAGTAAAGCCATTGACTTTCTCCGGAGGCTGAACTCTGTACATGTTTGTTTTTTTGTCAGGGTTCTGTGGACAGCATGGAAAAAAAGAACTCTGCTTTGGAACTTGAGCTTGTCCAAGCTCAGAAGAACACAATTGATAATATTGGGAAAATGAAGGAGCTTGAGGGGAAATGTTCCATGCTTCAGCAGAATGTTCAAAGGTATTTATCTTTTGGAAGTTTCTCTGCATCATCTTTGATTATTGTGGCTGGTAAGCTGTATCTAGTCTTCGTGACTGTCATTTGCTGGTCATGCACTTTGCTCTGTTGGAAGTTCATGTAAGAATGCTGATTGTTTTAATAGAAGTCATTAGGATTGAGATGAGCCCTTGGAGAATGTTGCGTGCTTACTATATCATTAGCAAATGACTTGAAGACAAAGCTATTCAGTCTTTTTTTTATTATCAGAAGAAGCTATCATTAATAGATGAAGAATTGTGATTTAACCTGCATGGCTCTAATCTATCTGAGATAGTGCTGGATTTTCAGTCGGAATTAAGTGTAAAATCATCAATACCAACCTGTATTAAGATCTGTTACACAATGTTGGTTTTGGACATTTGTATAAACTCTCTACTTATCTCTTGCTTTTCCAAATAACTTGTAGTCTTGAGAAGAAGCTTGCTCTGTTGGAGGATGAGAATCATGTTCTCAGACAAAAAGCATTGAGCGCTTCACCAAAGGGACACAATGCGGGTCTGGTGAAATCATTTTCGGAAGTAAGTTGTGTGCTTGATTGCGTAGTGCTATGTCGTTGTTTGTTGTGGTAAACTTTAAGATTGCTTCCTGAACTCCTTTCTTTCCCAAAATGACATGTAATGGAACAGAAATACCCTGGCGCAATTGTTCTTACCTCCGAGAGGAAGCCAAACTTTGTAAGATATTCCCTCTCTAGGGTTTTCTGTTGTTTTCCAATTATTGTAGCGGTTTCTTTTATACACAAATCTTGATGCAGGAGTCGCCAACACCTTCAAAACTTGTACCGTCCTTTTCACGTGGTTTGTCTGAATCACGCCGAACTAAGTTGACAGCGGAAAGGTCCCAGGTTTGATTTATTTTTCCTCTGTAGATGCTGTGTAGCTAAACAGCTTTAAGTATGTATTGGGTTCCCAATTGTGGTGGAATCAAATACCTAATTCTTGTGTTTGACCTTATTTTGCTGTGCAGGAAAACTATGAATTCTTATCGAGGTGCATCAAAGAAGATTTAGGATTTATAGAAGGCAAACCACTGGCTGCTTGTATAATCTACAGATGTCTTCATCAGTGGCGTGCTTTTGAGACTGAGCGGACGGCTATATTTGACTATATAATTGAGGGAATTAATGAAGTTTTGAAGGTTAGCCAACAATCAGTTAGGAAAATGAAAATCTGTTCTAGTTGAACACTTTGTCTACGTAATTGTTCCTGTTTGTGATTAATTTTCAATCAACTTGATTTTTTACTTCTTCCTCTGACCGTAGTTTGTTTATCGAACTACTTCAATGAATGTAAGGCCAGGTCTGAAAAGTTTAGATTTATGTGTCCAGTTGATTAAACAAGGCTTTGATGGGAGGAGTAAGTTTTATGTTTTATGATTTCACAATTGTTTCAGGCTGGAGATGAAAACATTACTTTACCATACTGGTTGGCCAATGCGTCAGCGCTTCTGTGTCTCCTACAGAGAAACCTGCAGGCAAATGGGTTTATGACCAAAGGGACACCACGTTCTACATCTGCAGGATTACCTGGAAAGGTTGTATGTGAATTCTATACTTTTAACCTTTTCTACACCCAAACCTCCTCTTTATTATGTGGTCACAGTGGGGCATGTGGAGTTTCACTTTAAACTGCAAGTCTCTGTGATGCTACTTTCCTGAATGCGTAGGTTTACATGCATGCCAATGTGTTGAAGAGACAATTACAATTTCGCAGCCCAGTTGGTGCCAATTATACTTCTTTTTCATGTTTGTGCACACCCTTTAATCTCTAAAGGTTTGCAAGCAGCAATGAAATCTAAATTGGTGTGTTCTTTCCGGAAGGGGAGTGATGTTCTACAGATAGTTTATGGGCTCCGTATTGCAGAATTGATTGATTTAGTAAATTGCTAAATATATATGTGGAACAACAAGCGAACAAGGGCTTGGTCTAGCGGTTAAACCGTTAGTCTTCAACCTGTAGGTCCCAGATTCGATTCCCGTCGGTAGCACTTAATATAACCTCTTCTGTTAACTGAGTACAGAAGTACCAATCTTGTCTCTGTGGAACCTCTTCAATTAACTCTGCTGGGATATTGTAGACCTGAATCAATTAATTCTGCTTTGGTCCATAATTGAATCTTACCAACGACGTCCAAGGAATTAATTTTTGACTGTGGTCTCTTTCATATGCTTTTGTGTTAATTTTGCAAAAGTGATGATTCTGGTTGGACTGGTTTGACGACAATTAGGCTATTCTCAACAGGCTCTGAAATCTGCTTTCAAGTATATTGGTTTTGACGATGGTGTTTCACACGTGGAAGCTAGATATCCAGCGATTCTGTTCAAGCAACAGCTAACTGCTTGTGTAGAGAAGATTTTTGGTCTGATTAGAGATAACTTGAAGAAGGAACTGTCACCACTTTTGGCGTTCTGTATCCAGGTGACTTTCTTTTGTTATCTTTTGTTAGAGCTGCATTTTGAATCCCTCTTTGGCCATTTGTTTCTTTTTCCTCAGAATCTTTAATTGCTTATTGGTAATTTGATGGGCAGACTGACCATGTTTTATATAATTGAACTTATTGTTGTCGGATAATAGGAAAGCCATGACCTTATTCATCTCTTGTCTTGGTCAGCTTTAGTTGTTAGAGGAAAAAAGTACAGCATCGTCTAGTATACAAATAACCAAGTGCCGAAGACAGAAGTTTGCCACAGAATACCGATTGACATTTAATCCGTTGGATGTGTTTAGTGTAATATCCTGTCATCATTAATACAATTTATCTTATTCGACAATTGGATTCAGAGTCTTTTGAAACTCAGGATTTGGTACTAAGTTTCTGTTGCTAATGTTTTCATTTGAGTTAAATCCCCACAAATATAACGTTAGGTATTTTCTTTACAATCTACCTTTGCATCCAGTAATGTATGTGGTTCTATGCTCATTTGCAAGGCCCCCAAAAATGTACGAAATGCTGGGAAGTCTTCTAGATCACCAGCAGGCATTCCCCAGCAGTCACCGGGTAGTCAGTGGGAGAGCATCATCAAATTTTTGGATTCGCTCATGGACCGGTTGCGTGGTAATCATGTATGTACACTGAGGTTCAAGTGCTGCAGTTGGCTCGTTCAAATTTTAATCTATATATATCTCGTTGAACTGGTATGCCAACACAGTTTAGGAATTGCTAAGAGTTTTCTCTATGTGCTCCGTGGTCAAGTTTTGAACCTGTGGGACAATCTTTTAGGAATTCCTCTAGATTCTGTATATTGTCTTTCATCGATTTTGTGGCATGGTTATAGCATACACCTGCATTCCCTGGACTCTATTTATTTTTTCATTTCCCTTATGATCTCTTCACTAATGTCGCAAGTGTTTCTAGTTTCCTAGTGGGTATAATTGCGAGGTATCTGTTCCACTCTCCAATTTACACATATTTCTGCATCTATATAATGGAACCTTGCTAGATAACCATTAATGAAGATGTGCATTTTCCCCCTTAGTGTTGCAGAGGTGCTACTTGAGAATTCTTGCTCTTCTGTTTCGTTAGAAAATGGATAAATGTTCTCCTTGATTTTATTTTTTGGAAGTTGGGTACAGTTTTTTTTTATGTTAGAACTGACCAAATCCTATATGGGCATTTATTCAAATGCGTGCAGTTTGGGTTGTGCATTTCTTCTTTACTGACTCTGGAGTTGCATTCAGGTGCCATCGTTTTTCATCCAGAAGCTCATCACTCAAGTGTTTTCTTTCATCAATATTCAGCTTTTTAACAGGTAGACTATCGATGAACATATGTTTCTCATAGCATGTTTTATTGATGTTATAATGAGCTTCCTAATGTAGTGATTCTGTCCCAGTCTCTTGTTGCGGCGAGAATGTTGCACATTTTCAAATGGTGAGTATGTGAAATCTGGTCTGGCGGAGCTTGAAAAGTGGATCACTAAAGTGACACAGCAGGTAACTATCTACTTGCTACTAGTTTTTCCTTTTATTTTCCTTTTGTTGTGGGATTTTATTTGCTAAAATATGATGCAATAGTGAAAATAGAGCTTGTTCAGAATTTTTGTAAAATGCAGTATGCAGGAACCTCGTGGCATGAGCTTAGTTATATCCGACAAGCTGTTGGGTTTCTGGTAATCAACTTTACCTCTATGTTATTTGTCGCAGCTTGTTTTTCTAAGTCTTCCATTTTTCTTCCTTTTTTCTCAAGTGTGATGTGATTTCTGTAGGTGATACACCAGAAACGGAAAAAGTCTCTGGAGGAGATAATGCAGGAAATGTGTCCAGTACGATCTATTTTCTTTCTCATTATTAGTTTATTACTATTGACATTCTATGCTTTATACTCGTCAAAAGAACCCTGATTGGTGCACTTGAATGCAGGTATTGACTGTCAGGCAAATATACCGTATTAGTACCATGTATTGGGATGATAAATATGGCACTCAGAGCGTATCAAATGAGGTACTTTTCAATTTTCTTTTGGGTGCTAGTTCATACAAAATTATGCCCTTCATGCTTGTAAACAAAATGGTATTTTGGCCACAGGTGGTTGCCCAAATGAGGGAAATGTTGAACAAAGACGGCCAGAATCTGACGTCCAACTCATTCTTGTTGGATGATGATCTGAGGTACTGAGTTTGTTACCTGAAATGTATAAACTTGCATGAAAACCGTAGCTCCCAAAATGACTTGTCGACAAAACCCTTTATGGTTGTTTAGCTTTTAGACCTGTAGAATTTATGGGGTTAACGTAGGATTTGATCTGTTCCAGTAATCATGTTCGAATCAGTGGAGAATTCATTCTCTCTTTTTTTTCCCCGGCACCATTTTGGGTCTTTTGCCATGTACAGTTTGAAGACTGTTATCCTGATCATTGGTCACCATGTTGTTGCATGTAGCATTCCCTTCTCAACCGAGGATATAGACAAGGCAATTCCTGCTATTGATCCTTCAGATATTGATCTTCCGAAGTACTTGCTGGAATCTCCGTGTGCACAGTTCCTACGGCGGTAGAAATGTCCATTCTTTACGTTGAAGCGTGAGATTTCATGAAGTCAGGGTCTGGATATGTAGAAGTTATGAGTTGGATGATGCTATTTCCCGGGAAATTTGGGTGTAGATTGAAAGGAAGATGTAGCAATTAGTGTGGGGTAAATGTTAGTAGAGGCTAAAGTTGGCTGCAATTCCACAGCTCATTCTTTCCTTAATTGCATTTGAAAAAAATGAAAAAAGAAGCTTGCTTGTAACTGTGTTACAGCGTTTCCAGCCTTTGATGTCAGTATGTACATATCCGAACTCTAGTCCCTAGTGTACAAGTAAGCTAGTAATGAGATACTCGATCTTGCTTCCAGAGCATATTTGCTAACTTTCCATATCCTATGTATATTCATTTTTCATTGTATTCAGATTGACAATGTGATGTGGTAAGTCTGCTTATCTATTTCTCTCTGTTATTATCTGAAGAATCAAATAAGTATAGTTGTATCCTATCGTCATACTTCGTTCTAGGGGTGAGCTTGACCCGAAAGACTCACTTACCCGAGTCAGTTTATCTACAGGGTCAAATTAGGAACGAGTCAATTGTTAACCTTGAAAGGGTCGGGACGTGTAGGGACAACTTAGGGACGGATCATTTTGTGGTCTTGTGACCATTAGCAACAACAAATATCTCATACCAAATTGGATCTCTTTGTAAAGTTTTAAAAATTTGGATACTAACTTGTAAAAATTAAACATGCGAGTATCAAAACATAATTTTACCATCAAAATTTACGGACCAATTTGTAAAAAACTAAATTTAGGTACTAAATTGTAAGAAAAAATAATTTTAAGTACCAAAACATAATTTGTAAAAAAGTAGTGTGTTGATTGACCCACTGGCCAGTCTCGCGTCCCGACCCGTTCCACTTCCAATCCTTAAAAGTCAGACAGGATCAAGAAGTAGATAAGAACCAGACGAATCAATTTTCAATTATACACCTTGACACTTCAGGAAGGTTCACAAATTTTCAGCCTATTTCGTTTCTTGCTATTACTTGCACCAGGAATGACTGCGATTGAAGTTGGTAACAGAACAGGGTGGAGCAACGTTAAATTTGACAAAGCAAATTGAACTCATGAACCAGAGATTGGTCTGTGATTAGGTCGAGAACAGGGCGCAACATGACAGTAAAAGCAAGATACGAAAGGGGGGATTAGCTTGTTAGTGGGAGTTTGTAGTAGGAGCAGGGGCGAAGTAATGTAGATCAGCCATCGAGAAGGATCGCATCGGAGAAGAGCGCTGCTGCTGCTGCTGCTTCGGAGACTGCAGGGCTTCAACAACCATATGCGAAGATGATCCGCCAGGGTGGAGCGGCGGAAGATGTTTAGGGTGGTGGTGGTGGTGGTGGTGGTGGAGACGATGATTGCGAAAATTATGAGACCGGTTCTCACCCACGGCGCCGCCGCAGCCTTCTCCCATGGCGGCGGCCATAGTCAGAGTCAGAGATATCGCACTTGCGCTGGATGTGATGCTCCGCTTGGAAATCGTCGCGCCGCCGCTCCGGTCCCAAACGTGTGCAAGAGCAATCTCGCTCCTCCGCCTCTTGTTGACAGCATGCTCCGTTTTCTCGAGCTCGCTGATATCAGTAATCGATTCCGCCTCGCCCAGATCTGAAAACGACTTGGCTTTCCCTACGTAGCACCTGGACAGTCCTTTCCGCCTGCAGCCAAATTTTATCAAATCTATCTCAGAGTTTGATCCAGCAGAGCCAGAGTCCAGCTATCCAATTGATTCTTCGTAAAAAGAAAGTGAAGTTTTGAATGGTAAAAAAGAAAAGATCCCTACCAATCAGAACCAGTGAGGCTTCGTTCCAAAGCACCCAGATCAAGAATCGTCGGTCCTCTAAACGAGCTCTCTACCTCGTTCTCCGCTTCCTCCTCCCTGCCCTCGCAGTCATCGCTATCATTCCCGATTGATGAGGACGACGACGTTGAAGACGACGATGGAGACGGACTATGTTCTCGATCACTCCCTTCCTCTGCAGCCACATCCTTGTTTCGCGGTAGCATCGCGGAAGCAGGGACGAAGGCGGCACCGCCGATCCCCAGCTCGGTCGCGCGACGGCGTTGGATCTCCGGCATACTCCCTTGTCTCTGTAATGCTATCGGCATGGTAAGTCAAAAATCCCACCGCCACTACTCTCACTGCCTTTATTATCAAGTCGAATAATGACGGCAGCTGAAGCTTAGGGCGTCTTCTATATTTTGATTGATCCTCTCCGGATATGGAAGGGGTGCGAACACAGTTACTTCCTCAATCGAGTTTCTGTTTCCTGTTAATTCAGATTTCAGAGAGATGAGATCGTCGCTCACATTTGGGAAAGAAAAAGCAGACGGAGGTTTCTTACGTTTATTGATTTCTCATATAAATACCACAGTTGTTGCCACCCAGCGAGCAGCGACAGAAAGAAAAGGGGAGAAAAGGGTAAGAAATATAAAATTGAAAGGATATTGTTGCGAAGTAAATTAATTAATTAATGTAATAATACGGGGAAAAAAAAAAGCAATAAAGTCTTTCAAAGTCGGCCTTATCAGTTATCCTCATCCACTGCGTATGGGATGGGGCGGTGGGAAGGGAAATGACCAATGCATATTCTAGGTTATTTTATTGTGTGCATTTTTAATTTAGATACTAGATCTCATTATCCGTGAGATTAAAATTGGTTATATAATTTCTATTCTCGAGGTGTTGAAGTGCTAAATTATCCGTGTTCAGGTCACATTGCAAGCTAATTTAGACTAAACTAATTTGGGTTTCTTTACATTGATAATGAGGTTTTGGGTTTCGTTGCAATGAAGGTTTTTGGTGGGATATCACCCTACTTCATATTTTATGCTTGTTTGTTTTCAATGAGTTCTTATTGTTGAAACCAGATAGCTCCATTAATACGATATTGTCTGCTTTGAGTCACACTTATACAGATTTATTTGTGGGTATCCTCCTAAAAGGTCTTGTACTAATGAGCTAGGTAAACACTTATATACATGGTTCCTTCACCTTTATTTCTGAGGTGGTTGAATGGTCTCATAACAATCCTCCACTCAAGACAAGGACCACGAACTACGTGTCCTCTATCAATGATTATCTTGATTTGCCAGACACCTTGTATCAACAAGTTTTCGACACAACAATTACCAGACATAGAATATCGTTGATATGCCAAACAGACACGGATCTCCTTTGATCTGTCAAACATATGCAAATCTCAAATCTCGAGGTCAATGAATGAGGGTCCCACCAAACTGATGTTCACTGTCCCGGGTCGAATCCGAACCAGGCTATGATATCACTTGCTGAGATAGGGTGACTCAATTAGTACGATATTATCCGCTTTGGGCCAAAGCCCGCACGAATTTACTTTTTGATTCCTTCCCAAGATGCCTCGTACTAATGAGCTTCACTTGTATTTTTGATGTGACGCATTCATTGCACTTATACCTGTCTATAATCGACCGAAGATCTATTTGGGTTTCATCTGAGCATAATTTTTTTTTTTTGAGTAGAAATCATCTGAGCATATTTGCATCGCATAAGGGGCAAGAAAGGTGGAAATTGCACAGGTCACGGTCACAGTGGTGACCAAGCTCACCGTCATGAACTTCAGGCCATGATGCGAACTCTAAGAGGCAACCAACGAAATAGGAAAAAATGTCTCACGACCTACGAGGATCACGGCCGTAAAAAAGATCACGTACATATCACTACCGTAATCTCAAGATCAAGATTGTGACCTTGGTGGTCGTGAACGAAGTTAAGACACTGAGTTTTCAATGATTCGGCAGCGTTTTACACTTTATAGACAAGGTCACAGTAGGGATGTAAGGCATGAAATACCTTAATGCATGATATGATATGTTGCATGAATTAACCCTTGGTTAGTTCTTGTTGATGTCTGTTGAATGTATCATACATTGATCATATGACCTAGAGGCCTTATTAGAGGAATGCATATTCTAGGTTATTTTATTGGGTTTAATTTTAATTTAGGTAATAGATCTAATTATCAGCATTACTGATACCACCTAAATTTGTGTGATATAATGTCTATTGTTGAGGGGTTTGTGTGCTAAAAAAAGCAGTCAAAATTCCGATTTAAATTCTAAAATTCTATGATTTTATTTACTTGTTCCGATCTTGATTTCACTATAAAATTTATGGATCTTAAAATCCTACACTATCCACGATTTAAATCATTAGAATCTTTAAAATCTTACGATTTTACGATTCAAATCTTTGGGTCAATTTTACTTATTTTTCCTAGAATTTGCAAAATTACACCTTTTTCCTTCTCATTCACGAACATCATCTAGTTCTCTCATGCTAACCACCATCGATTCACATTAACGTATTAATCATTATCGATTCAACACTTCCCAATATTAATTTTGATATATTGGAACATTAACTTTGAGAAATTATCATTGTAAGTGTCATGTATTTTATATTATTCATGATTTTCCTTATGAATATTATTCCGTCTTTGTTTTTAATTGGACCTAAAAATCCTACAATTTTACGATTCCGATTTTACCACCATTTTTTGGTTTTACGTAAAATCAAGATTTTGACTACTATGGTGCTAAATTATTACATTTAGGTTACCGTACAAGCTAATTTATGCTAATATGTGTTTCTATACGTTGATCATGAGTTTTGGCATGAGTTAGGTTGAGATGAAGGTTTTTTGTAGGGAAACCACCCTACTTCGTCATATTTTATAATTGCTTGGTGTTTGTGATGATATTTCAGGTCGATGGTGATCGATTTGGGTTCATCTTAGCATATTCGCATCGCATAAGGAGCAAGAAAGGAGGGAATAATAACACGATATTTTCACATGTTTTATCCTTCACGTTTGGACCATTTGGGGTAGGTTTGTTGCAACTAAAGGCGGATTTTACGCTAGGTTGTGCTTGTTTGTGATATTTCAGGGCCTAGTTCGTGGAAGAAGTCTTTGGGGCAACTTGTGGACCAAATGTTGCAGATACAGATCAAGAGTTGCTGAGTGAATGATGAAGGATGGCTAAGGAGGAGAAGTCACGGACACAGTCACTGTCGTGACTTCTTGATCACAACCGTGACATATTCAACCAACCCGTGACTCGACAACGGGGAGATAGAAGCCCCAAGATCAACTCACGGTCATGATCGTGAGTCGCTGCCGACGACACGGTCATGACTTGAAGTCCCCAGCCGTGACTCTTGGTTCACGGTTTGAAGAAACGCCTTATTGTGAAAGTCATGGGCAGAATGGCTAAGTCACGGCCGTGACATGGCACGTGACTTGCAAAACTTCAGGGAAACAAAAGGCAGACTTGGGCAATTGACTCCACATCCAATTTTCACTTGAAGAAACACCTAAGTGGGCCCTAGAGAGATAAAGTGACAAAGAACAAGTCCATGGGTCTAATTTGAGCTAAGATTCAACGATTGAAGCTTGGATTTAACCACTCGGAGTGCTGATTGACATCCCGGAGCTGATTAAATACATCGTTACGAGTATGAACTTCTTTGGCTGAGTTTTTATCTCTCTCTCTCTATGCAGTAAACCTCCTCTTTACTTGTATGAACCTTTAGATGTTAAACTGATTGATTATATTCAATTGAAGTATGGGTATTTGGATCTTGATCACGGTCTCTTGATTTCTACTTTGACCTAAGATAGATAGAATCTGATTGGGTTAACAGAGCTTCTTCGATTGGAAGTAGTGAATCAATCGTACTTTATTGATTCATTACTCTGTAATGGGATTCATTCCAGTGGAAGAGATCTTCATTTATTGCCTTAGCATTTTAATCTAGTGGAGGTTAGTCACATGCCAAGTACTGTGTCTAAGAGGGTTTGGTCGGCTTAAAATATTCCTAGTTATTTTTGGATCTTCCGCGGTTTAATGGGCAGTAAAAAACTAAAGGGAACTACAACTCAGACCTAATTGAGGATCTAGGGGGACACATATCTGAGTGACCCTTCTTACATTTGAAAATTGAACAATTTACTTGTTTTCTCTGCTAGTTTTTTCCCCCCACAATTTCACCATAAATCGACAGCTAGACAATAAACATTCACGGAGTAGGCAGTACACCTAGGACCCGGATTGAAAAATAGATGAATCCACTTTCCTGCACCCTTTCAGTGGTTATACTCGACCACGGATTTCAAGCTTGCACACGATTTGCTCATGATTGCATTTTAGCTACTACAAAAGAGGAGGAGGACGAAGAGGCAAGCCACGATGACAAAATGTAGCAAAATGCATAAATCTTTAAAGAGGCAAACACGAATGGGGAGATGCAAGAGGATGGAAGGCTGAGAGACGAAGTTGTGGTGGAAAAGCAGAGTGTAGTTAAGAGGGAGCTCTTGATTTATCCCAAGGTGAGGAGCTTAATGTTGAATAAGGAAGGCAAGTTAAAGAAGCAATTAAGGTCCAAGCAAAGGTTGAGGTCAAGGTAGTTGAGGCTTCTACAAGTCCAGAGTCATATAAGAGATCTCCACTTAAACTTGAGGAGGTTCTATAAGAGGACTCTTTTGAGGCTTATCTTTGCCAAAACCAGGCCACACTGTCATGGATCCCACTTGGTGGACGCTATTGTGGTCAATCGATGTTGACCTACATGGTTTGGGGCAATGTTGACCTACATATTTACACATGTTTTACCCCTAATTTCTTGATTATTTAGATTGGTGTTTATCATAATTTGGACTATTTTACATTAAGTTATATTAATTGGTCACATTTCAGGTCCTAGCACGTAAAGTGAAGCATAGGCGCAAGTTTCAAGTCAATTGGCGACTCGGGGAAGAAACTCAGGCATGACCCGAGGAAGAATGGATTTATACTTAATTTTATGGAAAAATCATCATGTAAACTTGTCATAAAAAGAAAAACGACGAGACTACGAGCGTGTGGGATAAAACGACAACTAATTCGGAGTCCGGATGAGGGAGGAACGAGACATCCAAGACAAGGGAATAGGAACGACAACTAATCCACGGGTAGGAGATCCAATTCCATGACCGTGGAATAGAAGGGGTGGCCGTGGAACGTGTCAGCAACGAGTCTAAATGCCCGTTTTATGCATTTTTGGAAGGAGAGTGTTGGGTTTTGGATCCCAAACACCCAAGGGACGAACCGTAGAGAGAGAGGACCTTGGGATTATTTTTGGAGCTAGTTTGGAGGATTTCTTCACCATTGAAGCTCGGGAATCAAGCTTGGAGATGGAGATTGGATATCTAGATCAGATTTTTGCATTCTCTGTCTTCTCTATGGAGTAACTTCCCTTCACTTAGGTTTTGAGGAACCCTAGATTTGTATGCGAGGAAGAGTTATATGAACCCATTTCTTAAAAGATTGATTATGTTATATCCAATTGAGGCATTATTCAGAATTGCATGAGTCCTGATCAAATTCTTGTGATTTATGCTTTAACTTAGAACGACAGTCTCTACATAGGTTAAAAGAGCAACCTTAATTGGAAGTAGTGAATCGATTACTTTAGTCAAGAAGTCTATTCACTGCTATGTA